AAAAAAAAAAAAAGAAAAGAAAAAAGAAAGAGAAAAAGAAGGAGGCTGGCGACTTGGTAAGTAAACAAATAACAAACTGCAGAAAACTAAGCCTTAAAAGATTTACAAGGCTTTTTCCTTGGTTACAAAAGCAGTAAACAGCTGCTGAGAGACGAGACTTTCTGGTCAGTTGAGCTGCCTGTCAAATCTTTGCAGAGATCTCCAGAATGGTAGCTCCTGTGAGTCATCACTTAGGATGGGGTAGCATTTTGCAAATGCAGCTGTCCATTAGTTGTCCATGTTCCTAGATGTAATCCTAACACAACCATTGGTTTGCCTAGCTGGACTTTGGCGGAATCATTATTTTCTGGGGCATGTAGACATTTACTTGTGAGTTCTTTCATGTCTTTGGAGATGACTGTTCCGACTGAAGGCTTTACCACACTGTTTACAACCATAGGGTTTTTCTCCAGTATGGGTTGTTTCATGCCTCTGAAGATGACCATGACATATAAAGGCTTTACCACATTCTTTACATACAAAGGGTCTGTCTCCAGTATGAATTTTTTCATGCAATTGTAGATTACTGTAACATCCAAAAGCTTTGCCACATTCTGTACATACAAAGGGTCTGTCTCCAGTATGAATTTTTTCATGTAACTCAAGATTACTGTAACATTCAAAAGACCGGCCACATTGTTTGCATATAAAGGGTCTGTCTTCAGTATGAGTTTGCTCATGTCTCTGCCGATGACTGTTAAGTCTAAAAGCTCTACCACATTGTTTGCATACATAGGGTTTTTCTCCAGTATGAATTTTTTCATGTACTTGAAGATCACTATGACGTCTAAAGGCTTTACCACATTGTTTACATTCATGACGTTTTTCTCCAGTATGAATTTTTTCATGTACCTGCAAGGCACCAGGAAATATAAATGCTTTCCCACATTGTTTACATTCATATGGCTTTTCACCAGTATGAATTCTTTCATGTAAGTGAAGGTAACTGTGGTATCTAAAGGCTTTCCCACATTGTTTGCATTTATAGGGCTTTTTCTCAGTATGAATTCTCTCATGCCTTCTAAGTGAACTGTAAGAACTCAAAGCTTTACCACACTGATTACATTCATAACATTTTCCTTCAGCATGAGTTCCTCCATGTGTGCATAGTGAACTAATATTAACAGAGGTCTTTCCACATTCCTTGTATTGATACAGGTTTTTTCCACTATTAGTTTCCTGATGTATTTCCAGTGTATTTGGAAAACCAAAATATTTTAAACATACCTCACATTCACATGGCCCATTCACAACGTGAGTTCTCATGTACCTCTGGAAGCTTATCAGAGAATCAGGATTACACTGCTTGTTCACATATTCCTCATGTTCATGTGGGCTACACTGAGAGTGAGATATGTCATGTCTATAAGAGGATGAGAGATACCAGGACCTCTTTCCCCACACAGTGTGATCACATGGTGTTGGTCCAGTGGAACTTTTCATGCTCATACTGAGATTTGGTTTCCAAGTCAAGTTTTCTCTATCTTGATTACCACCTTCATTCTCACAGGTCTGTAACAAGTAACTTCTGTAAAGAAAACACAAACACAAACCACAACAACAAAGGACAAGCCATTTAGTAATAGTTGTTTTATTAGGTCTAGGTTATACACAGTTCCAAAAATCAGACAAGATTTATGCCTTTTGCCAGATCTGAGTGGCCAGAAACTAAATGGGCTGATGTTCCACATGCTGAGTCTCACAGAGCTTTGATCAAAACAGTGATATTCATTAATTCAAGTTCTTATGTTTCCAAGTGAAATGCTCTGGTAGTACTGATCAGCATGCTTACATTTTAGTACCTATTAACTGTAGTTTTGGTAAAAATATTTTAATAAAAATTCACATTGTGCCTATTTGTTTAGTTTGCTTATTTGCAAATTTCTGTAGCACATCAAAATTATTTTAAAGACTTACTGTCATACTACTGAAGAACCATAGAATTCTTCAAACTCTGTGGCCATGTGTAGGGAGTGAAGGAAGCCCTGAGTGAGTGAAGTTTTGAGTAAATGCATGTTTTGACATGGGCATGGCCTGTTGAGGACTCCAAGACTAATTGGCCCACAGTAAATTGGCAAAGCCATTATTCATATGGCCCACACTTAAAAGGGATAGCAAAACTTTCTTTGGGAGTCTGACTGTTTCTGAACAACTGATCAATGTGTGTAAAGATTAGCAACCGCAGTTTCCTCCTCCCAGATATTTACAGCCTGAGTCTGTCCATCTACAGAGACCTCCTACCCCGACTAGCTAACTCCTCCCTGATGCCACTCCAGGTTGCTGCAGTAGCAATGGCAGTAGCAGTTACAGAATTCCATCCGATCCCAGCTTCATTGTGTATGTGGCTGTTCTTTCTTCATTCCTTCACCACCCCTAACCAGGGTTCCTGAACCCAAGCTACTCAGGACTCCAAAGCCATGGGCTACAAAGTGATTAAAAACATGAGCAAGCTGAGGTACAGCTGGCTCCAAACACACCAAGCTCATGTGAGACCCAATCCGAAGAGGTGGGGCTTTGTGTCCTATGAGCAGCTCTTCATGGAACTGCTCAAGGTCTCCAGGGATAAGAAAGCATTCAAATTCATTATGAAGAGGATGGGTAGACCATCCACACCATGTCAAGACAAAGCCAGAAAAGTGGAGTAACATACTAGCAGCTAGGAGGAAAGCTGGGGCAAAGGAAGCCTGTCCCCTCTCAACAGATTTTTATGCCTTTAAAAAAATCCCTTCTGAATGCACATTACCTTAGATTTCTCCTAGGACTTTTATAATGGTCTTCAATATTCTGGTTTTCCCATTTGTGTCCTAAAAGGTAGTCCCAGAAAATTTAGGATAAATTAGAAATTACTAAAAAGCCAGTTTTTTTTTTTGCTTTAGTTTAACATCAAAACCACGTCTGATATATTTAACATAACAGTCTAAATCCCAGAAGAGCGCAGATACCAAGAGATACTCGCTCCCCAATTTACAAAGTGACATAAGATGATATCCTTACCTATCACAGCCAGGTTCCTGCAGGTCTCCTGCATCACATCTCTGTACAGACTCTTCTGGGAAGGATCCAGCAAAGCCCACTCTTCCTGGGTGAAGTGCACAGCCACGTCCTCAAAGCTCACTGAGGCCTAAACATTGCACATACTTGATTGACAATAGGGTCGTTCAGCTCTGGGGTCCACACATCTCTTCCATGACACAGAAGTGGGAACACAAGCACTGAGGGACGTGGAAGGAAGCAGCCCTGTAGCAGCTCCTCTCGTTGTGGGCCCAGGGCACGGGATGTGCTGCTGCTCTGTCCTGATCCTCTTTCTAAGGTGCATTACTACTTCCTGTCTCAGAGTCCTCCCACCTGACGTCTGGAACAGTGTTAACACTAGCATGCAAGCGCCTGCTTGTCCTGGTAGCAATGTTTAAATTAAAAAATATATCGCTTTACTTATGTATATGTGTATATGCCTGATTGTATGTATGTATGTACACTGTGTGTGTTCAGAGGTCCATAGAGGTTGGTAGAGGCATTAGATCCTCTGGAACTGGAGTTATGGAGAGTTTTGAGCCACCCTGTGGATGCTGGGCACTAAACACAGCAGATCCTCTGCAACTCTTAACTTCTTAATTTCTCAGCCATTTCTCCAACCTGAATGTTAAAATTTGACGGTGTAAGTGAACTTAACATCTTGGTAGAGAATGCATGAATACAAATGATAAATAAATCACTCAGCATACATGCTTTATGTCTATCTTATGGCACAGTCATATTACACTCATAAATTTACATTTCAACACAATGCCATGAACTACACAGTACACCAGGTGTGCACTTCTGATTTTAAGATTAATCATGGCTAGTCAGGCCTTCATTTTTCCATATTTCTCCACATGATCAACCCATAGCCAGTGTCTCGGTGACAATCATCTCCAAGTCACCTCTAGCCTGACTATACAGACAAAACTTCAGTGGCTACAAAGTGAAAGTGGGATTCACCTCCATGATGGCAGTCCACTACTGCTGCAGCTTGGAATGTTGACACGAGTAACCTTCAGATGAACAGGAGCTCTGTCGTGTCTATACATGCCTTTTCAACTGACAGTCTGCACCATGAAGGCCCACGGAGGGCCTGGCACTCTCCATTCCTTCAGACTTCTATGTGGGAAGTACATGTAACTGGTATATATTTGATCCTCAGACCTCATGTGACTTTTCATGATATGTTAACAAATGTCTTCTTACCCCAAATTGGGAAATAATGACATGAAACTACCCAAGTCTGGTATAGCAATGAGTTTATTGTAGTTACTCACAGGAGTGAGTGAAAGCTTACCTCAGCATGGATAAGGACTTCCTAAAACTGTGGTGGGTTTCCCATAACAGGGAGGTTTTGAGCTAGCCATGCTCTTTAGCATATGTTAGTGTTTATGTTACTGTAGATGTGTACATTAAGTACTGTGACTTTTGTTTTAGGAGATTCCTGAAACTTCCGGGTTTATTTTTTGAGTGTTTTTCCTTCATAAGAAAAATGTAAATTTACACAATGAGATATATTTTAAGGTGAAAAGAAAAGCCATAAAGGAAATGATAATTTCAAACATTAAAACTGGAAACTGAAACCTACAAATCAGACGGAGAGAGAAGTCCAGAATATATGCAACATAAAAGAACTTACGTGAGGGCCAGAGAAATGGCTCACATTGGTCTCACAAAGGACCTGCGTTCAATTTCCAGCACCCACTTCAGGCAGCTCACAACTGCCTGGAGCTCCACTCAGGAAGCTGACACCTCTCTGGCCTCTTTGAGCACACACACACACACACACACACACACATACACACACACACACAACATACACATGACACCTCTCTGAGCACATACACAGACAGACATACACACACATAAATAAATAATAAAATGAACACATGGTTTACAAAAGAACAATAGGCAAACATGAATATATATATATATATATCTATCTATCTATATATATATATATATAAACTATTGGTATAGAAATAGAAATAGTAAAAATAAAAGGCCAAGCAAATGACTTCTCACATTGAGAACATCAACAAAAATCACCCAATTAGGTAATAAGCATAACAAGAAGAAAAAGTTATGGATGGATGGTGTCTAGGCTGGGCTTGGTGGTGCATACCTGAGGCAGAAGCAGGCAGATCTCTGTGAATTTGAGGCCAGCCTGGTCTACATGGTGAATTCCAGGCCAGCCACTGCTACATAATGAAAGACTCTGTACCAAACAAACAAGTTTATTCAAACACAGTACTCTTTCCCAGAACTAGAATTCTAAGTCTCTGTTTATGCCAGATGTGGTAGAGCACCCCAACTCCAGAAATCAGATGACTGAGGGAGATCTCTAGTTCAAGTTCAGCTTGCACCTTGAAAATAAAACAAATAGACAAAAATATATATATATTTTTTGATTTCCACAACAGGAATGGTTTGTTCTTTGTTTCTTCTACATTTCTTTTGGTATTTTAAGACAGGGTTTTTCTGTATAGTCCTGGATGTCCTGGAACTTGCTCTGTAGACCAGGCTGCCTCGAACTCAGAGATCAGCCTGCCTCTGCCTCCTGAGTGCCAGGATTAAAGGTGTGCACCTTACCTGAGGGAATGGTTCTTAACATCACTCCTATGGCAAAATGATGTATCCTGGACTTCTAAACATTTTGAAATGATGATTTTGCTTAAAGGAGTTGAAAATTCATCACATCAAAACAGGCCTAGAGGATTATACTAGTATTACGCCCAACATGGGGCACTCAAGATGAGGACGTGCACATCCATGTCAAGCAACAAAATATACAAAACTCAATCACATTTCTATACACACATGATAAAATACCAGAAAGTGTAATTGGAAAAACACATCTATTTATCACTCAAAAAATAAACACACAAATCTAAATTCAACGGTTAATATAAAAACTGTAGTTTGAAAACTATAAAGCTTGTTAAAAAATCTGATTTTTTTAAAACATTTCTCTATGTGTGCATGTGTAGGCATGCATTTGCCATGGTGCATTCGTGGAGGTAAAGGAACAAGAGGTCAAAGAAATATTTGTGACTTTCGATTCTCTCCTACTATGTGCCTTCCAGAGATTAACTCCAGGTCTTAAGACTTGGCAGCAAGAGCCCCCAACCCACTGAGGCATTCTGCTGGATGAACAGTCTAAGTGTTTTGTTTGTTTTGTTTCTTTTGACACAGGTCCTCACTTGTGGTGTAGTCCTGAATTGCCTAGAACTTACTATGTACACATGGCTGACCTAGAATTCAGAGATCCGCCTGCTTCTATCTCCAGAATGCTGGGATGAAAGGCAAGCGCCAACATGCTCGAACCTAAGTTTAAGTAAAAGGAAAATCGTTCTCTTATTCAAGGTTACCAGCTTAGCAGTAAGATAAAATGGCAACCGTCCTTAAACACCTAAGGAACCCCAGTGGGCCAACCTTATCAGATTTGAAAACTGCTTTGGAAATTCATGGATTTGTAAGGAGCTTAGACTACAGGAATAGCCCTGGGAAAGAGCAAAGCAGAGATTCACCGTTCACAGTTCAAACTAACTTCAAAGCAATTAGCATCAAGGTAGGATAAGGCTGCAGATGGGCCTAAGGAGCAATAGAGCACTTACCCAGCATGCTATGCACAATGCACAAGCTCCTGCATCCAATCCCCAAACTGGGGATGTGTGTGTGTGTGTGTGTGTGTGTGTGTGTGTGTGTGTAAAAGAAAATAAACTGTACTAGGCTCTGTGATACAGCTCAGCTGGTAAGAACCCTTGCAACACAAGCCAGACAAACTGAGGTCAGTCCGCAAGGAAGGAGAGCAATCATTCCATAAAGTTGTCCCGTGAGCTCACACCTGTCTCACTGCACACACCCCAGGGCACACAGAGCAGTAAAGAAGGTCGATTTCATCAGGTGAGAGAGTGAAAGTGGGAGCAGCGCACCGCACCGCACCGCACCGCACCGCACCGCAGAGCGGAGGGGCAGCCAGCCGCAGGGATCCTCCACTCCGTAGACCCGTGAGTCCTGCTCTACGTATCTCCTCCCTGTCCAACCCTGGGGCGGTCCAGGGCGGCCCCTCTCCCCGAACAGCCGCGGGCTCACTCTGAAGCCCGCATGCAGCGTTGCAACAGGGTACGTTCGATGCAAGCTGTCACAGTCCGCACTCAGAAAATGTGCGCGGACGAAGGGGAGAGGTGTGGGCACACGTCCTCAGGGAGGCGCCTCAAGGGGTCAGCGACCCCGCCCAGACTGGCGTTCTCGGTTCTCCAGCACGCCGCCCTCTTACTAGCCGCCAGCCCTCCCGTTACCTGCCCGGTGTTCGCGACTTCGCCGTTTTAACTCTAATCTTCGCGTGAAGCCGAACTTTCCCGGAGCCGGTCCCACCCCTCCCCCAGCCCCGGGGAGGACCCGGCACACCGGCTCCCGCGGCTCAGTCGGACGCTCCGCCCCGGCTGGGGACAGCGGCCCCGCGCTCACCATGGCGCGGCCGCCGAGCTCCCCTCACAGCTCCGGGCAGCGGCAGCCACAGCTAAGAGCCGCGAACCCGCCGCGCCTCCCTCCACTGCTCAGCCGAACGCACAGCGGGACTGCCGGAAGGAGCCCGCCTCCCGCCGCCCCTGGCGCTCCTGATTGGACGGTCCGTCTGAAGGCCCTGATTGGCTAGGGCCGCACAGCGAATGACAGGCTGAGTGACAGAAGCGGATCCCACAACAGGAGCCCCACTGAATTGAGGCAAACAGCACAGCCCCTTCCAGCACTGCTTTCTGTCCTAGGAGGCCTAGCTCAGCCCGAGAGAGATTGTCATAAAAGCCAAACTTGCCGGGGTCGTGCAGAGTACTTCAGTCCTTGGTGATCTCCAAGCGCAGTTCGTATTCATCCTGGGTGGCTAGTGTCCACAGTCCATTTACCAACTCAGTGTCCAATGTAGCAGTTTCTTGCCTCAGGCCTAGAACTGATATTGGATCTTGGATCTGATGTATTCCACGACCCTGGAGTTTTACTCAGGCAAGCCAAAAATTTTGTTAGAGCGTGTACTGTCAAGCGCGATTTGGTGGTGCAAGTCCCCTTCATCCCAGCACTCACACGGGAGGCAGAGACAGGTGGATCTCTGAGTTCTAGGTCAGCTAGTCTACAGAATGAGATCTGGCCAGCAAAGGTGCACAAACTCTGGTCATTGTAAGTGTCCAGAACACAGGCGGAAGAAACCAGACTGTGCTACAGCTCTTTCCTGGGGTAGTTAGGAAGCTGCTGTCTGTGATTTTACAACTCTTAATTTATAATCCAGCCCAGTACCTGGTTCTCCTGTGCTCATCTTCACAGTTGGAAATAAGATAATAACAACTTCCAAGAGAATGGAGAAAACTGAAGCCGTTTTTAAATAATCAGTTCTGTAAAAAGATGTGGCAACACAGAGAAAAGGCAAAGAGTGGCTGCTGATTTGGAATAAGACAATGTTTTTTTGAATATCCCCCATACCCTGGGGGAGAAATTCCTGTCATCTTCTCCCATAGGCCAAGTTTGCCAAGTTCCCAATTTTCTCATCTAATTGGTTTAGGACACAAAGCCTTATTTAATGAATAATTTGGGATTTGAGGCTTCCCATTTTTCTTATCGTGGTTTCAGTTACAAAGCAGACCACTTGTAACTATCAGGGTTCTCAGATATGGGCAGGTACTAGTGCCTAGTACCTACTGCTTATCTCTGTAGCTGGTGAATTCTAAATACACCTCTTGTCGAAATGGACCACAACAGCCTAACTCAATTGTTCTCAACCTGTGGGTCGTGATCCCCCAAAGACCATTGGAAAACACAGATATTTACATTATGATTCATAATTAGCAAAATTACAGTTATGAAGTAGCAAGGAAAATAATAGTATGGTTGGGGCCATCACAACATGAGGTACTGCTTTAAAGTGTCAAAACATCAGGAAGGTTGAGAAGTACAGTTGAGAAACCCCAGAACTAAGGAGGCATAAGCAACATGATTTAGATTTCAAGGTCAGCTATTGCTGCATAGTGTGTTTGAGACCAGCAGGGGCTGGATGACATCCTGCCTGAGAAGACAAAGTTAATCACTAAATAACACATGTCAAATGTTTAAAAAGTGGAATAAAAACACACGCCAAAAAGGAAACAAAATTATTAGGGCATGTTAAAAATGTGGACCTTGTAAAGAAAGATATTAGATCCTTGAAACAGTGAAATGAAAGAACCTGGCTATTGCCAAAAGCTCATATCTTATGATCATTCTTTAAGTATGCACATAATTGACAAACCCTTTGCTATATTGACTTTAATAATGGTGGAGGCACTGGGAAGGTAAGCCATAATAATTTATCAGAGTTGCTAGGGGTGGAGACTGGGCCCTGATAGCTCTAATAAGCCAGGCTTGGACACCATCCCTGATAGGCAAGTTACACTGGCAAGCAATAGTTTAAAGACTACACACACACACACACACACACACACACACACACACACACACACACATATATATGTAGTGTGTGTGTGTGTGTGTGTGTGTGTGTGTGTGTGTGTGTGTGTGTATTCAGTAGACTACATTGGTGATGAGAGAAGCAAAGAAGTCTTAGTGACCTCAAGCCCCACTCCCGAGTCTATAAAGCAGTTAAGGTTTAATAGAAGGTGAGAGGCCAGTGTGGCTGGGCAGTTCTGGTGAAGGAGGTCTGTAAGGGCCTTTCTGGAGAGGACTAACAGGCGGCAAGAGCTACCTGTAGGTAGGGGTAGTATACACAGGGATGGGCCCAGATTTGCTTGAAAGGAGAAAGTGTGCTGAGCACTAGTTTTGACCACTGTTTGCTGCTTCCAGACTGAAGGAGAGATGTGAGCAGCTACCTCGCACTCCTGCCGGTGCAGGTGCAGCCCCTCACACAAGCTTTCCTCACCATGACTGGAGCCAGATTTAACCCTCCCTCTCTGTGTAAGTTGCTTTTTTCAATTATTTGGTCACAAATAAGGAACCGTAACAGAAAATTAGTATGGAGGACTGGAGTCCTTATCATGAGAAACCCGAGTGTGTGTTCTTGCCTTATAGAACTGATTTATAATGGGAATACAGAAGATTTGGGGTTCTGGATGACAGAAGCCATAGAATGCTTTAAACAGAGCTGAATGAACCATTTGTGGGGGTGTTTGGCATCACAGCCCCTTTCTGGGACAACTGGGAAGGACTATGCTAAAGGGAAATTTTCATACTGGGTAGAAATTTGGGGAGTTCACATGGTTATGTATTTCCATGGAGGTCTAACTCAGTGGTTCTCAACCTTCTTAATGCTATGACCCTTTAATATAGTTCCTCATGTTGTGGTGACCCCCAACTATACAATTATTTTCATTGCTACTTCATAACTGTAATTTTGCTGCTATTAGGAATCATAATGTAAATATGTATTTTCCAATGGTCTTTAGGGGTCATGGTCCATAGGGTGAGAACCACTGATAACTGATGATGCATGATAACATATGGGTTGTCTACTGATTTCTGTCATTTCTCAAAGGGCCAGTGAATGAAACAACCAAAGTAGCTAGGATTTGTGTTAGGGCTCAGTTAAATGAGCTTCCACTCACCAAGACACATTTGATGCTGAGTGCTTAATGCTTTGTCTAGATGGTTGGGAAATTGGAAGGAAAATAATTAGAAATTGGTGAGAAAGATGTATGGTTCTTTCCAAGTGTGTATTAGTTACCTTTGTCATTATTGTGATTAAAAAACAAAACAAAACCTTGACAAGAAGCAACTATCATGGAAGGATTTATTTTGCATTGGTGTTTAAAGTATCTAGTCCATTACCACATGGGATGAAAAGTAGCAGGAATGTGAGGCAGCTGGTCACAGTTTGTCACAATAGGGAGCAGAAAGTGGACAAGATTAGGACTTGACTTAGATACCCCAAGGCTTAGATGCCCTAAGTAACATGAATCTTCTAGCTAGGCTTCACTTCCTGACCTTTCTCATCTGAGAACCAAGTGTCCAAAATTATGAGCCTGACCTGGTAGAATCACGGCAATCTCATAATTCAAAGTACATTTATTCCAACATCAAAGGTCCCCATAGTCTAACAATTAGAACACTGCTCAAAAATCCAAAGTTCCTTCTAAGACTCAAAGTATCTCTTCTTATTTTTTTAAAATATTTATTTCTTTTACTTTATGTGTATGAATGTTTTGCCTGCATGCATGTATATGCACCACATTCTGTAGCTGGAGAGTTTTCTCTTCAGGTCCCGCCAAGCCCTGGCAGTCTGACAGCCCACTTATAAAATAAACACACAGACACTTATATTATTTAAACTGTTTGGCCTAATGGCTCAGGCTTCTTGTTAACTGTTCTTATATCTTAAATTAACCCATTTCTATTAATCTATACTTTGCCACATGGCTCATGGCTTACCGGCATCTTCACATGCTGCTTGTCATGGCAGCAGCTGGCAGTGTATCTCTGCCTCAGCCTTCCACTTCCCAGAATTCTCTTCTCTGCTTGTCCCACCTATACTTCCTGCCTGGCTGCTGGCCAATCAGTGTTTTATTTATTGACCAATCAGAGCAACACATTTGACATACAGACCATCACACAGCACTTCCCCTTTTCTTTTTTTTTTAAAGGAAGGTTTTAACTTTTACATAGTAAAATTACAGATAACAAAACAATTATCAAGTAAGAATTACAGTTATAATATCTAGTCTATTTATAATAACTACTCTATTTGGCAAAATGAAAGAAGATAACCTATGTATCTTATATTTGTGAGTCTAAGATTTCATATCTAACTTATCTTTTATCATAACTAAGGAAGATTATGACTATCTAGTCTTCAACTACATCAAAGACCTCAGAAGGATATAATACTACCTGAGAAATGGGAGAGGATGCAAGCAACTTTTGGGTGTCTTGCAGGGTAGACAGAGACAGCTGTCAGCCTAGACAGTCACCTAATGTTCCTTTGTAAAGTTGGGGCATCTGTCTTCAGCCCACAGGCCTAAAGTCTCTCAGTTATTTCTCTCTGTGTCCTGTAGAATGTCTGGCAGTTTCCTCTGCAAAGCAGGAACCTGAAGGACCATTTTGCCAAGCAAAGCTCAGTGGTTACCTTCTTATGGGTCCTGCATGTCCAGTTGATCAAGCAGTCCAGGCAAGAACAGTTTCTTGCCCAAATGGCTATTTTTTTGCCAAGAAGAAGATAAACTCCATATAGAGTGTCTTTGATGCCCATCCTCCTGTCTGAAATAAATCCAGTGCTGCCAGGAGCAGACATGTCTCACTGTCCAGAAAGTCTAAATTTTTAAAACATTTTAATACCATATTCTGTAGGTCTTTGAAGTATTTGAAGATTGCCTGTCTATCTGAAGTATATTTATGTATACCTATAAAATGTAACATGACTATAAGTTTGACTATCATAGAAGACTAATTGATCTGTATTTCTTAATTATCCATTACAATCTAAATGAG